TTAAATCATTTTTTAAATTCCTTTTTTTTTTAAAAAAAAAAACCTTTTCCATAACTTTATTTGTTTATTATTATTATTTGTGATGCTGAGGATTGAACCCAGTGCCTCACAAGTGCTAGGCAAGCGCTCTAACCACTGAGCAAAAAGTCCAGCCCTTCATTCCCTTTTTATGTTATCTGTATCTAAGTCTCTTTACAGTAAGTTCAGTGTCTGGTTAATCTTTGAAGGTCCTCACAGCACCTGTTAGAATGTTTCCCATATTGTAAGATACACAGTAAGAATTTACATATTGTGAAAATTGATGCGATAAACATGTACTTTTAATGCAGTCCATTAAAATATACCAAATTATATTTAATCACATTTTATTATATTTTTTAAAAAGATAGGGAATGTGGCTCAGTGGTAGAGCACTTGCCTAGCATGTGTGAAGCCCTAAGTTCAATCCCCAGTACTGGGGGGAAAATGGCAAAACTGCTGAATCACATTCTGTTTTAATCACAGCCCAGGGGAATTCCTTTGCATGTGAAGTTTGGGGAGGCCTTGTGGTCAGCTGGTCTAAGCTGGCTCTCAGCCCTGATGAAGCCATACAGAACTGCACCCACACTCTAAGCATACCTCCTTCTCCTTTTTAGCAGGCTCCCCTCCTGATTCCAGTCACACAGGATTAACTAGCACACATTGCAAGCCTCTGATAAATCATGTGTCACCTCGTAAAACTTAAACAACCCTGGAAGGAAAGTGCTGTTCTCCCCATTTTTTTCAAATGAAAAAGCCAAGGCTAAGAGATGGGAAAACTGCTTCCCAAAGCACCCAGTTGTCTGCAGTGGAAGTGGGATTCACACTATTTGGGCCACTGAAATCCAGACTCAAAATTCTCTCCCTGATCAATCCCTAACCAGGCTCTTTAAAGCCTTCTCCCCAGGGTGAGGCCACAACCTTGGACTATAAAAATTGTAGACTATCAGCAGAAATGACTTAATCTGCACTCCCACCACATGAAGAAGCTTGAATAAACACTCAATGTGCCTGCCTGAGAAAGCTCAAAGTTTGCCAAAAGAAGTTTGTTGCAGACAAAATTCTGAAGATAAGTAGGAGCCCTTGTCTCCCAGACTCTTTTTTTTTTTTAACTTTTTAGAAAATATATTTTTAGTTGTCGATGGACACAATACCTTTATTTTACTTATTTGTTTGTATGTGGTGCGGAGGATCAAACCCAGTGCCTCACATGTGCTAGGCAAGTGCTTTAACCACTGAGTTACAGCCACAGCCCCCTCTTAGACTCTTAACTTTCAACAGCACCCAGGGACCAAACCCTGTCCCCACTTGGTATGAATTTCCATGTACCTAACTGTTCAAGCCCATATCCCTGAGGTTCCCGCCATCTCTGCACAAATCAGTGAGTGCAACTCACAAGGGCCCCTCTTCCCAACTGCAGTAGCATATTACTGATTAAAACCTGTCCTTACCACCTTAATTAGGGTCCAGTTTAATCAATCTTTGACAACTTGAACCACTATGTTATCCACCTAATGAGAAAAAATTCCCTGAAGCCATTCTCTACTCAATCAATTTGCTTAGAAACTCTGTCCAAGACTGATTATCACCTGTTGGGCCTGCTATTGCTGGAGTCCACACTCTGTCGGTGCTGACATTCATGCATGTTGACAGAGGGGAGGAGTCTGTACCTGTGTGGCAGCCAGAAGGCGAAGTACTGGTCCAGATGGGTCTCAGAGACGCTCGACCAGCAATTCAGCCCTGACTGCAGAGTGGCCAGCTCTGACAAAGCCTTGGCACCCGACGGGCATCCCTGAGGAGCTCTAAGCCCTGGATGGTAACAACCGCTCCAAGACTGGGGACTTGTGGCAGAGAACGCTGGAGTCTGTTCCTTCAGCGCCACTCCCCACGGTGCAACCTCGAAGGGGCCCCACCCAGGCAGTTTCCCTAGAGTTTGATCTCCCTTCAGCCTCTCAGGATTGTTCTGGAGTCATCTATCAGCATCTGAAATCAGTGCATGCGGGAGCTCAGGCAGCCTGTGCAGGTAGCTGCCCAGAGAATGAGGAAGGAGAATTGGAGAGACTGGGACTTGGTGGGCCCTGGGAGCTCTGAAGGTTGCAGAGTCACTGAGGAGGCTGGAAATCCAGGCCAATCGGTGTGAACCAAGAGGGGAGAGGGGGCACTGGCCCAGTTGCTTTGGGATACAATATTACCATGAGAAAAAAAAAAATGAGTCTGTTCTGATTATGTGTTGTTCCCTTTCCCAGACAGGTCCAACCACGTTGAGATGGATTCCACCAAGAAAACTCAGTCGTTGCCAAACCAAGCCCAGTCACGCCCACGTGTGCTCTCGAGGCCACATGTTTGCTTCCCTCACTGGGAAAGTCAAGGAGAAGATATCACCAAGACCATTGCCATGTTGGACAAATCAGAAAGGCTAGCTATTGGTGAAGGTGGGGAGGACAAGATCAGGACCAGGGTAGGGTTTCCTTTTCATTTTATCTGTGTTATTTATTTATTTTGGGTACTAGGGATTGAACTCTGGGAGCTACACCCCCAGCTCTTTTATTTTTTTATGGTGCTGGGAATGAACCCAGGGCCTTGTTCATGTGAAGGAAGCACTCTACCAACTGAGCTATATCCCCAGCCCTCTTTTTATTTTTTTTTTTTTTTTTGTTTTGGAGATAGGACCTTCCTGGGTTGCTGAGGCTGGCCTCAAAATTTGTGATCCTCCTGCCTTAACCTCCCAAGCTGCTGGGATTATAGGTGTGTGCCATCACACCCAGTTATCTTTGTTATTTTTCAGGAGATTGCTTTGGAGCCCTCTGCTGTGTTAGAGAACTCCAAACTCATTCTAATTGCCTTTATTCCCTCTTAATCCTCATGAACTTTGTAGAGTGGAAAAATCTTTTAAAAACCCAAATCGGGTCATGTTTCATTACTACCCGTACTCACGGCTTTGTTACACTGAGAGTCAACACCACACAGGCCCCACGTGGCCAGGAGCCTGCCTAACCTTCCCAATGGCATCTCCTACCCTATCTCCTACTCCCTCGCTCCACACAGTGGGCTGACCTTAGGGCCTTTGCATTCAGAGCTCCTGCCTCTGGAAGCATTCTTGCTCTTTCTTCTTGTCAGCACTTGATTCCAATGCTTCTTCCAGAAAGGGTCCACTCCTGAGTCCCCAGGCCCCTCAGCAATGTCTGCCATATCACCCACCAGTCCTGGGGCACTTACTGCCATCCCCACTTGAGAAGTCTACAAGGACAGCAGTTTTACCTATTTTGTTCAGCTGTACATTTCCCAAGGCCTAAACCAGAACCTGGCCCAGAGTAAAGGCTCACTCAGTGGAATCATATAACAGAATTGGACACCTGCCCGAGAGGCTGCTGGAGGCCTCATCCCTGGGACTCGCTGTTCTGCAGAAAGCTTTCGTTCTTAGTGCTGCCTGGCCGCCCCCCGGCCGCCTTCTCACTTGTAGCAAAGCATCTGGGGGAGACATGGGGTCACCCTGGCAGGCTGCTGTTTTTGTCCCTGCATCAGCTCCACTAAACAAGCAAGGTTACCCTCAGAGGAACATGATATGCCAGGCCATGACCATTTCATTTTTTTTTTTTTTTTTTAAAAAAAGCTCTCCTTCCTCCTGAGGCCCAAGGCAGAACTCAGGTATCCTGTGGGTTTGCAAAAGATGCTTTGTGGGTGGCTGGTGTTGAGGGGACCTTAGGCAGGCCTGGAACTCCACTTTGCCTTCCTTCAGCAACACACGGCTTCTCATATATGGTGGAGAAGGACCTGCCTGCCCAGCGTTGTTGGGGAGCATGTTCTCGAGCCCCCATGGCTCTGCTCCTTGGGATGCAAGGTCCTAGTGAGCTAATGGGCGTGTTACTGAGAGCTCTGTCCTTGTTCCTAATGTCAATCCAATAATGAGGACAAAGTTTTGAGAAAAAGGAAAATAAAGTTTTATTGCTTTGCTAGCAACAGAGAAACACAGGGGACTCCTGTCTCAGAGGCTGTGATTCCCATTGGGGGGAACAGAGGGTTTTTAAAGAGGTGATTCAAAGGCTACATTCTAGGCATGCCCTATCAGGTGTTATAATTCATTTGTAGCCTTGAAAGACAGCCATTTCTTAGGTCTTCTGGCACCATCCCTAAAGTCAAAATTACTTCATTCCTGTGGATGGTAAGAAGGGTAATCTTGCTGCTCCCAAGGCTAAGGAGGGAGAGAGAGAGAGAAGAGAAAGGAAAAAAAAAATGTCAGTGTTAAAATAAGCCATTATGTTCAAAGCACCAAGTGGGCTCTGTTTACAGGCACTTTGGGGAAAGCAGCACCCAAGGTCAGGTCTGCAATGCACAATTGGAAGGGATGGCCCTGCCCACCTTGTCTGTCCTCGGAGGGGCTTTGCCCACTGCACAAGCCCCTAAGATCAGCAGAGCAGGACCTCAAAGTCGATAGCTTACTGCCACCTGGCTCTCAAGGCACCTACTTCTCAGAAGCATCAGACATGTGTTTGCACCTCCTCAGGGAGGAAATCCGGCTCTCCGAATTGCAGCAGCACATTCTCTGCCACCTCCCCTTCCCCAGATGCTCTGCGGAACTAGTGCAGCTGGAGGAAAGGGAGTTGCAGGGGCCTCACACACTGGAGTGCTACAGTTCCTGTGGTGCAGTTCATATGAGCACAGAGTGTGGAAGTGAGCAGTGATCTGAGGCAGCAGCAACTGGGGACTTATGGGGTGACAGTCAGCAAGTGACATGCATGATCCAGGGCACAGGGCAGGGTGCGATGGAAGCAGCTGATGTATTGAGGCACAGAGTCTGAGGGGGGCAACTTGATTCTCAATCCCATTCCTATGACATACAAAGTTCACAAAGTCTGTGAGAAATCTCTTCTCATTCTTTTGTTTCCCAAAGCCCTTTTCCAAAATAATATTCTTTTAAAATATTTTTTTAGTTGTAGGTGGACACAATACCTTTTATTTATTTGTATGTGATGTTGAGGATTGAACCCAGTGTCTCACATGTGTTAGGCAAGCGCTCTGCTACTGAGCCACAACCCCAGCCCCCAAAATAACATTTTAGTGAGTGTCTGTGTTCACCCCAGGGAGGAAAGTCAGATGCCAGCAGGACACAATGGGCTCCCGCGTCCTGCAGCCTAAGTGCACTGCTTCAGCTCCATCTTGGCCACTGTTGCCCGGTGCACCTCGTCAGGGCCGTCAGCAAGTCGCAGCGCTCGGGCCCACGCAAAGAACTGAGCCAGGGGATAGTCGTTGCTCAGGCCTGCTGCTCCGAAGGCCTGGGAAGGAGAGGAAGCCTGGGGTGAGCACTGGTTTCTGAGGGCCTGGGCATGACAGCCTGCTCAGGATGGTGATGACAGCCACCTTCCAGGACTGTTCCCTATGATACAGGATAAAACTAACATTCCAGAAGACTTCAGGCAGGCCTCACTGCCAACCCCTGGATGCCTCCTGATTTGCCACACTACGCTGTAAGGTGGCTTCTACTACTAGGGACACCCCATCGGAGTGAGGCAATAGGGTGAGAGGAGGCGACCACACATGCAGAAGCAGCTGGACTCTGGCACTGTGAAGACAGACCCAGGCTAGTGGCAACTTGAGGCCAGTGGCCACCAGCTGAGTGAGCTGAGAAGTCACTTCACTTTCCTGGGCTACTGTTTGCTCTTATTGAAAATGGGGGCAGGAAGGAGCCCCCTCCTCACAGGGTTGCTTTGAAGAGGAAGAGGAACACCCCATAGCAGCGAATGGGCAGCTCAAGGAAGCTGCTAGGTACACCCAGGTCAGCCAGAGGTGAGGAAGGTTTGCATCTGCTGCCAGCAGTTCAAACCAACCATCTGTGCTCACCTGAATAGCACGATCGATCACTCGGTAGGCCATGGACGGGGCAACCATCTTAATCATGGCAATATCTAAAGCTGCAGCCTACTGGGCGGAAGGGGAGACAAGGTTGTAAAGAAGCGAGGACTGACTGCTGGGAAGAATAACCTGTTTCACAAAAATACAAGGACTCAAAACAGAGGTCCTGGGCTGTGCTGGATTGTCAGCATGTGCAGTGACTCAGTTGACAGGGAGCAAAGCCAACGTGCCTTGTTCCACACCACAGCCAGCTCCATCTAAGCAACAGTGGACCAAGGCCAGATAGAGGTCCAGGGAATCAAGCTGCAAGGATCTGCCCTGAGCCAGGCATTTGAGGGAGGTGCCTGGGAGGTTCCAGCGTAACTAGCACTACAGTGTCAAAGAACCAAGAACCATGAACCTGTTCGGCCCTCCATTACTAAGGCACTTGACTAGAGGTGAAGCCCCCACAGAAATCTGGACAAGTGAGCTTCCTTCCTGGCTACCATGGGCAAAAGCCTTAACTAATGGATAGTGTCACCCTTGGAAATAAGCCTCTGAGTTGACTAATTCTATATTTGGATTAGGGCCTGGGAGTCCAGAAAATTTAGTTCTTTTTCACTGAGACTTTTCTGTTTATGAATAGCTGCCCGAAGAGTTCCAAGGAGAGCTGAAGTAAAGTTATTGATGTCAAAAGGCTGAGCTCTTTCTCCTCGGCCAGCTGGATGAGATTCCGCCCCATGGCCTCAGGGCCTGTCTTCTGTGAGGGCCACGCCCATAGCCTTTGGCTGCTACCTTATTTCCTGCCACATCCATGAGGTGGGCAGCTTTCAGCACCAGCAGCCGGGCCTGCTCGATCTCCACACGTGACTGGGCGATGTCTGCCAGGACTGTGCCCTGCTCCACCAGGGGCTTCCCGAAGGCCACACGGGACTTCACCTGCAGACACAGGAGATGCAGGCTGAAGACATGCTGGGCTGAGGATACTCTTGGGAGGCTCAGGCTGGGGGCTTGCAGAGCGGGTGGGAGCACACACGAGAGCAGGCAGGCGAGGAGGGCAGAAGCAGGAGGGGAAGGTTGCCAGCTCTTCAGCCACAGGCATTTTCGGGGAGATCTAGATGCCACAACGTCCCAGGCACCACAGTGTGCCAAGGTCCTTATGGCTGTACAACTGACTTCCAAGAACCCTATATCTCTGGGCAGGCAGGAGTTCTTTCAGATCTGTACCAGAAGCTGGCTCACTGCTGCTCATGGGAGGCAGAGTGCCACTGTGGAGCCTGACATCATGCAGGGCATGGCGTCCCCTGCTGGCCATGGCCGGCCTCGCCTCACCGCTCCACTGAGAGCAGCGCCTGGGGGCCTCCTTACCTCAAGGGGCATTTATCTGAAGGATTATCTGAAGGCCACAAGGCATCAGGAAATGTTATAAATACTCTTTATTTTTCTCATTTGATTAGCTTGTTTATCTTTACTAGAAGTAATTTTTACACAAATAATATATCTCATGGCAGAAAAATTATCCATTTTCAGACAAAAGAAGAAAATAAAAATACCTAGTATCTCACTATCTAGTGACTTATAGTTAATATCTGTTGCATGACTTTCTAGACTTTTTATATGCGCACACACATTTCTTATAAAACATTTCATGCTCTATAGTGCATTGAAGCCTGCTTTTAAAATTTAAGAGTATACAGTAAATATCTCCTATGTTGAGAAGCAGGTTTCCACAGCGTCTGTGGGGATTTGTTACATGTCTGCACATGGTTTATGTGACCAGTCATCCAAAGTTAGCCTTACAGGGTGTTCCCAACATTCTGCCATTACAACCAGTACTGCGGTGAAACTTCTAGTAGCAAATCTTTTGTAGAGTCCTCATTAGTCTCTTGCACCTGGTCCCAAATCGAGTTGCCATGTAAATGCTGTGCACTCTGAAGACTTCTGACATGTAGAGCCAAATTGCTCTGCTGGAAGGCTGGTCTGAGTTTTAATCATGTGGGGCTGAAGTATTATTCCTGAGGCTGCAAGAAGGAGTATTTTATTTATTTAAAAAATATTTATTTTTAATTGTAATTGGACACAATTCCTTTATTTCACTTATTTATTTTTAAGTGGTGCTGAGGATCGAACCCAGGGTCTCACACATGCGAGGCCAGCACTCTACTGCTGAGCCACAACCCCAGCCTCAAGTATTTTATTTTCAAAGAAAGAAAGAACTGAGCTGTCTCCATAAAAAATGAAAAAGTTGTAAATCACAGAAAGTTTGCACAGTAATCAAAATACATTTTAGACAGTTATGCTGGTGTACACCTGTAATCCCAGCAACCAGGGAGGCTGAGGCAGGAGGATCCCAAGTGCAAAGCCAGCCTGGGAAACTTAGGCTCTCTTAAAACAAAGAAAAAAATTTAAGGGGCACTGGTGATGTGCTCAGTTGTAAGGCCCCCCTGGGATCAATCCCCAGTACCACATCCCTCAAAAAAGATAAATAAAAGATGCCTTCTGTTCTTTGTGTAGTATTTTGTGTGAGGAATTTGTTTTGTATCAAAGTTTTGCCTCATCTTTTACATAGGCTTCCAACCTTTGAGGGGTCACAGTAGATTACATTTTCTGGACCTGCTGGGGAGGAGGGTGGTCAGAGCCTGATGCGGCAACCTGGGTTCTCCCTGGCACCTAATTTTAACCACGTGCTGGGAACTCATGTGTCTCAGCAGAACATGAGGGAACTCTGCCCTCAGCTGTCACAGACCCTGACCTTTCACTTCTGGTCACCTGGGCAGAACGGGCCATTCTGTTCTGAATGTCAAGCTGAAGCAAAGTAGTAGAAGCAAAGCAAAGACAGGGTGCGGCTTCTTGGCAAGAGCATCATCTTGCTTCACCTGCTAGGTCTGCTCTCAGAAAACAGTTAGGATTTGAAGCTTACCAGCACAGCAGAAGGTGGTTCTGAGTCAGTGTTGGGGAGAGAGGGGCACTCGGGGGGCACTCACGCGGGCCTTCATGAGCGCCAGGGCCCTCTCTGAGAACCCAATCAGTCTCATGCAGTGGTGGATCCGGCCAGGCCCCAGCCTGCCCTGGGCAATCTCAAAGCCTCGGCCAGGGCCCAGAACTATGTTCTCCCTGGGCACACGCACATGCTCAAATCGTACTTCACCATGGCCACCTGAAAGACCCAGATGCACCACCTTGAACAATTGTCATTTGGGTTTTCCTTGAATGTGTTTATTCCCTGTCTTAGTTTGGGTTATCTCCTGGCAACATCCTGCATCACATTGAGACTTCTAACTAGGTCATGGCTAAATGGGGAGGGAGAACAGGATGGAAAGATGGAGAAAGTATCACTGATTTGTGATGGCAAATTAATATTTTGCTATTTCTTTTTGATAAATATAAGGATGTAAACTTAAGCTGAAACTTCCTTAGCATGTGAGTAACAATGTAGTAACCCTCAAAATGTCAGAGGGAACATTGTTAGGAGAGAACCCTGCCCCCCTCCCCACGAAAGGACCTCACTGGGGCTACGGCTGGATCCTTGCTGTACACACTGGGACCTAGAAAAGAAGGTCCAGAGAACACTTCCTGTCTCCACCCTGACCGAGTACCTTCCCTGTCTCACAGACTCCTGCTCAACTTCTAAGCCTTGAAGAGGAACAAAATTGCTTACATGCCCATCTTCAATCTGCTACGTGGTTGATATTCATTATGGAAATGAAACACAGGACCACGTGGCAGCCCAAATGTCAGTAGACCCTTACATGTGGCAAGTCCTGAACTTGAGCAAGGGCCACCCAATGTCATTCCCCAAGGACCTGAGCCAGAGTCAAGGGTGGCCCACCAGGGCTGTCTAACCTGGAGCATCCTCCAGCCCGTACACTGTCAGAGGCCGGATGACTTTGATCCCTGGGGTGTCCATGGGAACCAAGAGCACAGACTGCTGCCGGTGGCTCGGGGCCTGCGGGTCTGTTTTTCCCATAAACACACAGAGTTGGCAGCGAGGATCTAGGATGCCTGCCGGGAATAGAAAGAGAACAAGCCCCCTCAGCTGATGCCAGGGCCATCAAGTCTCTGTCCCCAAGCAGTCATGGCCCAGGAAAGGCAAGGCCAGTATGTAGCAAGCACTTCATGTCATCAGAGGAGCATCTACAAGCTCTGGAGCAGAAAGAAGAGGAAGCTGGGTTTTGTCCCAGTGAGGTATAAATCCAGCATCGTAAAAGCAAATGTTGAAAAGCGTCATGTTACAACTGAAAATACAGACATATGATGCTGAAATCTGCCACTTCCTCCCACCTGTCTGCTTTGTTCTGACTCCATGGATAGGATAATGCTCTGGGCATAGGCCTCGGGGTCAACAAATCTTGAAGTGAGGATCTCCTACTTGCCAGCTGGGGGTAAAATTTTAGGCAATGGCTTTGGCCACACCCTGAGTCCCAAGTCCCTCCTTGTGGAATAGGGACAATGACCCTGCCTTCTGGGAAGTGCCAGCACCCAGTGAGGCGAGGCCCCCATAGTGCTGGGTAGATGCACTGCTCCAGAAAGGGCCCCTGGGATATGACACAACTGACCCAGGACTCAGGGGAAGCCACCAGGAAGTAGCCTCCAGCCCTCCAAGGTCAGCTGCTCGAGGCAGACAGGCAGTGGGCAGAGTGGAGAGATTCCCAGAGCCACATTTGCGAGTGTGGGGGAGAGGGCCACACGTGTGGTCACCTTATGAAGCTGTGTCCCCCAAGAACAGCACTGGAGACAGCACACTGAGCAGCTCCCTCCTGTTTGGGGGCTTTGTGCCTCTTCTGGGAGCACAGAGATAGAGCCTCCTTTGTGTCAACTGAGAAAGCAGCTGGCCCAGACCAGGCACCCCAAGACGGCGTGTGGACGCTGACTGGCTGCCAGGCACTTGGAAAGAAAGCTGCGGGCCTGATACCTGAGATCCACCACTTGTGACCATTGAGGACATAGAAGCCGTCCTCCTCTCTGATGGAAGCCTCGATGTTGGTGGCATCTGATGAGGCAACCTGCGTGGGAACATTCTGATTAGAGCTGCCTGCGGCCTGCATTCCCTGTGGGCAGAGGCCACATGGGGCCCAGCAAGTGGGGATGGCCCAGCAGGGTACCTGGGGCTCTGTCATGGCGAAGCAGGAGCGCGCCTTGCCCTCCAGCAGAGGAATCAGCCAGCGGGCCTTCTGCTCCTCGGTGCCATAGCGCACCAAGAGCTCCATATTCCCCGTGTCAGGAGCAGAGCAGTTAAATATCTGAAAGGACAAAGAGCACATCAGTGACTCCCGTGTTCTTGTCTAAAACTTCAAATTCCCCACCGGTGGTGGAGTAGGACCCCTTCACTAGACCCTCTGATGTAGAAATGCCCAAATGTGTAAAATTTTTGAAAGAGAATCTCAGACCCCTGGAACCCAGCCAGGGACCCTTTCCTTGTTCGAGAAAAAGGACCTGGGCCAGGACCTGAAAATTCCCATGGCTCCCATTATCCCTGGGCGACTTTCCCCCAGTCATCTTCTTACTCAGGCTCCAGCCAGCAGCTTGCAGTCGTCCCCCTCCCAAAAAGAGGTTTACATTTGGATGATGCCCCTCAACCAGACATCCTAGCGCACAGGGGAAAATCTCCCACACTCCAAGGAGATTTTAGAGAATCTAAATTTTAGATTTTAGAGAAGGTACCTCCGGAGCGTAGAGAGACGTGCCCATGACTTCACACAGATGTGCATACTCCATGTTGGTCAGTCCTGCTCCATATTTTTTCTCAGGATCAGTCTCCAAGGGTAGGAAAAGGTTCCAAAGTCCTTCAGCCTTGGCTTTCTCCTATCATGGGAAAACTGAGTCAAGGAACCACAGAGAATGACTGTATTCAATTTTGACTCATGGGACACAATGAAAGGGATTGGGGAGGGAAGAAGGTGGTGGTCAAAGACTCAGTGTGAACCCAAAACAATGACACTTGTCAGTGCTATTGGCTACGGGTAAGCCTGCAGATGTGTGGGTAGTACATGCACAGGAAGGTACCCAAGGGGATGCCCAAGTGAAAACAGGGACAGGGCAATGCTTTTTTTGAGGGGTATGGGGGACTGAACTCAGGGGTACTTGATCACTGAGCCACATCCCCAGTTCTATTTTGTGTTTTATTTAGAGGCAGGGTCTCACTGAGCTGCTTAGCACCTTGCTTTTTGCAGAGGCTGGCTTTGAACTCATGATCCTCTAGCCTCAGCCTCCTGAGCCTCTGGGATTATAGGTGTGTGCCACCACACCCAGCTGCAACATTTGTTCTTGAGACAAGGAACTTGGATTCTTCAATATGGCTCTGGGCTTGAGAGCCAGGAATTCTATGATGGGGGTTAGGAGTTTGAGCCTTCAGTCAGCCCTGGCTCAGCCCCAGCCCCAGCCCCAGCCCCAGCCCCAGCATGACTGGTTGGTAGACTGGGCAAGAGACTTGATCTCTGGGTCCTGGCATAAAATGGCCATGTGACTACCCCCACCCCAGTTAGGACTATTAAGCTGCAGCCCCAGCAATGGACAGAGACCAACTAAAGGAAAAAAGGAATGGAGTGGGAAGGTTCTCCCAGGCTCTCAAACTAAACAGGAAGGTGAGAGAATGAGGCTCATAAATGGGCAAGAATCGGGCCACCTATAGGATCTCACTAGGATGGGATACCTGGCAGCCCTGCTGGGACTCCACTCCTGTAGAATGAGTAAGCCCCAACTGTTTTCCATCTTGAAAACCCTGCTCCCACTGGAAATTTCAGGAGGGAGCCTGGCTGGCTTGGCCTGGCTCATGTGCCCACTCCTTGTCAGGGAGCTGGGCTGGTATCTTGACTGACAGCTCTGCCAGACTATCCCCAATGGGGAGGAGGATTGCCCCTAGGTAAAACTGGGTGCTGATATCAATAGAAGATGGGACAGGATCAGGCAGCCACACCCAGCCAACACCACCTCCCTGGGTTGTGAAGATGAAATGAGGCGACACAGACTCTAAGGGGCTGACAGAGAAGCTGGCAGGGGGCCGTGAACCCTGGAGGTTGTGGACGTGACCATTTGCGCTGCTTGTTCCCATAGGGAGGCCCCCGGGGCCCGCTCTCCAGGCCGCCAGGCCATGTGCTTCCAGAAACACTATGTGCATGAGTTAATTAGCTCAGAGTGTAATGACCGAAGATAAAAAGGGCAGATGAACTAGAACAAGGAAAGAAGAGGGGCAGGCAGGGAGAAGTGGGAAGCGAGGATCCTGAGAAGAGGCAGGCAGCCTCCTGTGCCGCCAGGCCTGCCTTCCCTTGGCTGCTCCTCCATGTTCCTGGCCATGTTGTCAGCTGCCTACCTAATGTCCTCTGCTGTTTCGGAGCCCAGGGTTGGCTTTGGTGGCTAACACTCAGATGTCCTCTGAGTAAAACATCCTGGGACCCTTAACCAGGGACGGGTCAGACAAAGTATGGTGCACCCACACTACAGAGCCCTTGGAGGTCAATCTCTGTGTTTCCATGTGAGTAAATGGGAAAAGACTGGAATGTATAAAACGATTTTATTACAACATAGGAATAATCATGAGTCAGTATATAATAGAAAAAGCTGGGAGCATAGTACACCAAGTCACTGATAGTAATTATCTCAGAGGGCAGAGAATTTTAAAGAACTCTTTACTTTTTATGTTATGTGCTTTTGTCATCTTAGAACTTTCTTTAATTTTGCAATAGGTTTGTAACTACAAAAAAACTCACAGCACAATGCTATCTTTTTAGAAAATTTTTGCATTGTGTTTCTGAAGATCTCAAACAACTTCAAAGCCAACACAATCCAGGGTCAGCCTTGACAAAGAACAGCAATATTTCTGTTTGTCAGCTAAAGTGGCCTCACCTTCATGCAGGACAACACCAAACACAGCTTACAATTGATTGACTGGCCTGGTGACTTTGACATTATGGGTCTTCCAGAGAAACTTTATCACATTTTTTTTGGGGGGGGGGTACTGGAGATTGAACCCCAGGGTGCTCTACCACTGAGCTATACACCCAGCCTTTTTATTTTTGAGACACGGTTGCCCAGGCTAGCCTTGAACTTGCAATCCTGCTGCTTCAGCCTCCCAAGCCACTGTGCTCATTGTTTTAGATCTGCTTGATTCAAACCTGCATAACAGAAGCCCACTTGCCTGGCTTTCTAAGCTGCAACCAGAATTCTTCTTTCACACCTAAGGTCTCAGCTTGTGAAGGGGTCACCCAGCAAAAGCATGGGACCAAAACTGAATAATCTGGAGCTGGCTCTTTCTGATGATGATGGAGAGCCAAGGTAATTCAACTCAGCCCTCCTGTCTCTTCCCCACCCGGGAAGGGCACAGATGAGGGTCTGCCATGTGAACAAGGCCTAGGCAATTCTCCTTCCGCAGGCTGCCTCACCTTGAGATCTTCTATCAGCGGGGAAGGGCTCCATCTATCCGCTGAGGCCTGGTGTCTCTGCAGTTCTGGCTCCACGGGGTATACACGCTGCTCCATAAACCTCTGCAACCGGTCATACAGCTCTCTGACCGGTGAAGAGAGGCCCTCTGGAGAGATGACCAGAGCTGTCTTTGAGGCATGAGCTGGGGAAGCTCCTGGAACAGAGCTGTAACTCCTTCTGCCCTTGGGGCTCAGCAGGGACTGTGAGCCAGCCCACATGTGGTAGGACCTTCTTAATGGTTTGGAGGCTGGCATCTCTTTGAAAACCCGGAACCCTTCTTTGACTGCAAAATCCCATGCCAGATTAGCTACAAATTCAGCCAGCTTTCCACTTTGTTCAGCAGTTGCTGAGCTTGCTTGACCTAGGCAGAACAGAAGAAAAGCAGTGATTACTCCCAGATGGCCCTTCAACAATAACGTTGACATATGGCGCTGAGGTTATTCTATCAGCAGCAGCCAGCACTGGCGGAGCGCTTGCTCCCACCAGGCATTGCAAATGTTACTGGCAGCCCAGCCAGGGACCCTCCCTGGATCCCCAATTTGGCTGACCACACAAAAGATAAACAAACAACGTAAAAAGGGAAAATAAATTGAATGCAGTTTGATCAAACTTGAGTAGAAGTAGTGGAACTGTTTCTCCCTAGTTTATAGAAATGTTTACATTTTTTTTTTTGACACCAGTGATTGAACCCAAGGGTGCTTAACCACTGAGCAACATCCCCAGAACTTTTTATTTTTTTAATTTTGAGATGGGGGTCTCACTAGGTTGCCTACAGCCTCGCTAAATTGCTGAGGTTGGCTTCAAACCTGCGATCCTCTTTCCTCAACCTCCCAAGCTGCTGGGATTATAGGTGTGCACCACCACACCAGCTGGGAAGTGTTTACAATTTAAAGAAACAAATATCAGGAGATGCAAGCATGTAGATTTAGCAAGCTTGTACTAGCCGGAAAACATGTCAATTTCAGCTTCCTTGTGCCCACCTAGGTCAGGGGTAATCTTTTCGTTTCCATTCTCAGTATGAGGAAATTCAGGAGCTAGAAAAATTCAGAACTTTTAATTTCAGAGAGGTTGTTTCACTAGTAATAATTTATGCTCACCCAATTCCCAAGGCATGAATTCATGCTTTGGGGACAAGGACACTGAATCTTAGAGGAGGCAGTGGCTTGCTCAAGTTTTAGGTTGAACTCAGGTCTGCCATCCCTTGCTCTTTACCTCTTCATTTCCTAAAGAAACTAAATTCAATCAGTAACATCTCCCCAGCCACTTCTGCTGCAGCATTGGGCCATAAGAGATCCTGCATTACTGCTGAGCACCTCTGCTAGGGGACTGACAGAGTGTCACAGCTGACCGCAGGAATGACTGGTTCTAGGCAGCCAGCCCTTTGGGTTAACAATCAGCGCCAGAACCTCAGAGCTCACTCCTTTTTTAATATGCACATCAACACTTTTCTTAATGATTTCTCTCCTTATTCGTAAAAAATGAAGGCATAATGCACATGCACCTCCTTAGTGCACAACTCTTGAATTGTGACGAACTCACAGTGGGGTGACCTCCATGTGACCTCCACTGCCATCAAGAAACAGAAAACTTCCATCCCCCTAAGCTTCCCCAGTGTCCCTGCACCCTTTCCCCAGCCCTTGGCCTCTAGTCTGTTTTCTAGGACATCACCCGAGGACACACATGGCCCCTCCACTCAGTGCCGCTTAGGAGACCCACCGTGCTATTGTGTGTACACTGTTCTTCAGTGAGCTTTTTTTTTCTTCTCCTTTGTTTCAATAACTGGCTGTCCTATCTTATTATGAGCATTCCACGTCCCCAAAAGACTGTTTCCCTCATTCCCTTTGTATCAATAAGTGGCTCTTCACAGAGGCCTATTTACTTTTGGCTTCTGAGTCAATGGGTTGTTCTCAAAAGAACCACTTCCTGGCAGGTTTGGTGTTCACTGTCCCTGAGTTATGAACCACATTCTTTCCTCCGCAGCAGAACACGTAGCCCACTGAGCCTCACAGGTCCTTACTGAGACCCTTCTGGGTGCTAGGAGTGAACCTAGGCCCTAGGAATCAGTCAAGAAGCAGCAGCCCCTTCCTTGAGCTGCAGGCCCATAGGAAGGACCCATGGTCAGAGGCTGCATCTCTCCTCTCCACTCAGCTTGACACGGCACACTGTGGGGAAAGATGCTCCCCTCAGTCCACTATTACAGGTGATTTTCATTTTCTATTAGAGCACAAAGTGCACTCCCAGTCTCCTTCTGTGTATATGGATCTCACTGCAGGATGCTACTGCTTTGTCTGGGGGAGGCATTAAATGAACTTGGGGTGAATGAGGCCAGGGCTTCCGGTTCATTTTCCCAAATGTAATCCCAGCAGAAGAGACCACATCACCAACATCCACCTAAGCTGCAGCCTTGAGCACTTTTTTCTTTCTAGATTTTTAGCAGCCATCTAGAAGAAATTCAAACTTCTGCACCCACTTATTAAGGAAGCAGGTGACATGTAGGTGGGCTGTGTGGACTGAATCTTGTGGTCACTCTCCTGCTCTTCAATCTAACGATGATCTGATATCCCCAGGAAATGAGGGCAGGAAGAGAGAGAAAGAGAGAGAATATGCCTTTGAAACAAATAATTCCTCCCCAAATTTCAATTTTCCAGGGCAGCAACACATACAACTGTTCAAACAAAAATGACTTTAACAGGGCTGGGGGTGTGGCTCAAGCGGTAGCGCGCTCGCCTGGCATGCGTGCATCCTGGGTTCGATCCTCAGCACCACATACCAACAAAGATGTTGTGTCCGCCGAAAATTAAACAATAAAAATAAATAAAAATTAAAAAAAAAATGACTTTAACAATTACAGAAGACAAATGGACAGAAATGATAGTTGTGTTCATATAGTTGGGATCCCCCACTCCACCGAATGACTTTTATCCATTCTTTCAAAACACAGATTTCACCAGGCACGGTGACACACGCCTGTAATCCCAGCAGTTTGTGAGGCGGAGGCAGGAGGATCATGAGTTCAAAGCCAACCTCAGCAAAAAGTGAGATGCTAAGCAATTCATTGAGACCATGTCTCTAAATAAAATATGAAAAATAGGGCTGAGGATGTGGCTCAGTGGTCGAGTGCCCCTCAGTTCAAACCGTGGTACAAAAAACCAAAACAAAACAAAAACAAAAATCATGGATTTTGCCAGTTTTATGTGAGGAAACTAAGCCACTTCCTCAGTGTGTCTGGGTTGATTCCCAGTGAGAGGGGAGGGAGAGTACGATTAGGCTCAGAGGATTACAGGCCTAGAACAGCCCTCTATGTGTGCTGGCAGACAAGCAGGTTTGCTTGAAGTCACAACTATGGTTCATAGGATCTTGGAAATGTGGCAGCTTGAGGCCAAGTCAGTGATCTCATATATATATATATATATATATATATTTTTTTTTTTTTTTTAAGTACTGGGGATCAAACCCTGGACTTCTTACATGCTAGGTAAATGTTCTACCCAGGGGCTACACCCCTAGCCCTTTTTTTTTGAAAGGCTGTTCTCAAACCTGTGATCTTGCTTCATCCTCCTGAGCAGCTGGAATTACAGGCTTGCAACACCATGCCTGGCTAAAATGGGAAATTCTTTGTGGGCAAAATCTATGTAGTTCTCCCAAGGCCCTGGAGTAGAGTCAGAGAAAACCTGGCAGCTGGCAAGGAAATGTCAATAGGGGGTCAGGCCTGTTCATCCCCAGAGGAATCAGCAGTTCTGTTTCAGTAAATGTTTTGGGTTGGCTCTTTTGAAAAACCAAAATAAAAATGGGGAGTGGTGCTTAGAACAATTTCCAAGGGAGAGAAAAGTATCACTTCTAAGGATTCCTGCCTACCTTTCCCGGCACACTGTTTTGCTCATGACTTTGGACAACCTGGCACAGTGCTGGCACAGAGAGGCTCAGAGTTGTGAATGGATGAATGACTATTTGCTCTTCTGCGGCTGCCCCTCTCAGAAGACTCTGGCAAGCCTGGCTGAAAGCAGTGTGCTGCCAGCAGCTTGTCACTGTCCAGGAAGCTGAGAACGTGCCCTCGTACTGGCAACCCTGCTGATAGGTTACTTTTGTTATAGGTTATTTTTGTTTGTTACTCCTGCCTTTTATTTTTGACTCTTAATTTTGAGAAATTTCAAAGATACACAAGAACAGACAGAACAGTATAAGGAACTTAAAAGTATCTCTCACTTGCCTCCAACAACTGTCTCGACAATCTGGTTCATTCCCTCCTATTCCAACCCCAGTGTCCTGGATTTTTCTCAAGCAAATCCCAAACAATGGATTATTTCATCTATAAATATTTCATTTATGTCTAAAGACAAAGACTTTTAAAAACACACAATATCATTATGTACTTATAAGATAGCTAACTAGGCCAGGTGCAGTGGTATGTACCTCTAGTCCTAGGTACTTGGGAGGCTGAGGCAGGAGCAACACTTAATCCCAAGAGTTTGGGGCCACTGGGCAATATAATGAGACCCCACTGCTTAAAAAGTAAAATCTAAGCTGGGTATGGTGGCATACTCCTGAAATCCTGTGACTTGAGAGGCTGAGGCAGGAGGATCACAAATTCCAAGCCAGCCTCAGCAACTTAGTGAGGCCATTAGCAACTTAGTGAGAGGCTGACTCAAGTAAAAAAAAAAAAAAAAAAAAGGCCTAGACAGTCCTTTGTTAAATAATAACAAAAAATAAAGTCTAAGGAGTGTAGCTCAGAGGTGGAAGCCTTACCCAGCATACGCAACGCCCAAAGGTTTGATCACTAGCACAGAAAAAAAAAGAGAGACAGAATGAGAAAGAGTAAGAAAATTTAAAATCTATAATAACTTTATATTAGAAGCAAGGTTAAAGAAAATATTAGCGAGGCATGGTGGTGCACACCTATAATCCCAGTAGTTTGGCAGGCTGAGGCAGGAGGATTGCAAGTTCAAAGCCAGCCTCAGCAACTTAATAAGGCCCTAAGCAACTTAGTGAGACCCTGTTTCAATACTGGAAAAAAAAAGGAGGAGTGGGGACATGGCTCAGTGGTTAAGTGTCCCTGGGTTCAAACCCCAGTACCAAACAAATTAAAATATGTTAAATTATATATTATTATAATATATGTAATTATACTTTAAAAAAAAAATAATATATATATATATATATATTTAATGACGAATGATTGAATTAACTCAATCTTATGAAATTCTGGTCAAACTTGTCCCCCAAAGCCTCTGTGGTTGAGAAAGAGCTGTGTTGGCTGAGACTCCTCCCATTACCTGTGAGTGACCTCTTGTAGACACCCTGCAGGATTGCTGCCACGCGGAAGAAAGAGAAGGCCATATAGAAGTTCCAGCAGTCCACAGGAGGGGTCCCCGTGTGATGACAGTACATCCTGAAGTACTCCTCTGCAGTGGGGATTCCCAGCTGAGTCAAGTCACAGCCACTGACACCTGAGGGGAAAGATCCCCGTTCCTGGGTGGTTAGTGCCTTCACTCCCCTGTGGTCAGCAGGGTTTAATCCTGAAAATCACTGTCTCTTCAAAGTTAGTACCACAACTAGCTCAAGACTTCAATGGCTCCTCCTCCTCCAGGAATCCATGCAGGGAACTAATGGATTTCAGAATAAATTAGCAGAAAAGGAAGAAATGGGGCCTCTGATTCTACTGGGACTACAGTTCATGGCGGACGTGTATTATTCTCAACTAGTCATTTGACTAAAATGGCATTGAAAAGCAATCACACCAACTATGAAACAGATAACTACAAGTTAAGAAATTCACTGATTTATGTCATTTGTGATATGTTGGTGATTTAGATGTATGCAATATATTCTGTTCCTAGGACTTGCTCCTATGAGTGTAACATATATAAGCAAAGACGTTACTACAGAGATGTTCCCTGCCTTTTTGTGGGAGTGGGGTTGGGAAGAAGAAATATAAAAAAATTGGAAACATTAAGTAGCCCAACAGGAATTAAATTAAATGTCTTTTAAGTTAATTCTATTGATAAAATCCAATGCTATCACTAAAAATTAAGCTATCAAAAATACTTAATGGCATGCAAACATGTCCAAAGTATACAATTAAGTGTAAAAAAGCAGGTCCATTGGACACGGTAGTGCATGCCTGTAATCCCAGCAACAGGAGGCTGAGGCAGGAGGATAGCAAATTTGAGACCAGCCTCAGCAACTTAGCAAGACCTTGTCTCAAGAAATAAATTAGATAGATAAATAAGGTCCCAGGGATGCAGCTCAGCTGTAGGGCACCCCTGGGTTCAATCCCTAGTACTGAAAAAAAAAATTCCATAGAAGTCAGCTGTATGAAAGCACAAGCAGTGCTCTGTGGGTGTCCCTGTCACTTAACACGCATCTTACACTCATTCTCCCCCAAATGTGATAGGAATGCATTCCAGTGGTGTTTTTTACGCAAGCCACCAGGTCCACACTTCGATGGCTCGCCTCAGCCAAGGAAGCTCCCAAAAGCTGGAGCCGGTCCACCCCATCTGCCCACAGCAGCAGATCCTACCTCTCAGTATGGGGAAACTGGGTGGCAAGTAGTGAGCGAGGCAGCTGTAGGCCACGTCGGCAAGGGGGTCGCCTAAGGTAGAAAGCTCCCAGTCAAGGACAGCAAGCACCTCTGGCTTGTCTGGATGAAACAACAAGTTGTCGAGCCTGAAAAGCCACAGATGGGATGGACAGACAGTCAGAAGATCCCTGACCTGGTATATTCTGGGCCAGAAAAAGTCCAGGCTTGTTCCCCACCTTCCCTGCTCTTTCTGTGTCGAGCCAGAGCTGCCCTCTGGGGGCTCCCTGTTTTTGTGGCTTCCAGCCAATGAGAAGTGGGCCCAGTGGCTCAGGTGGCTGAGACAGGAGAATCATCAGTTCAAAGCCAGCATCGGCAATAGCAAAGCACTAAGCAACTCAGGGAGACCCTGTCTCTAAATAAAATACAAAATAGGGCTGGGGATGTGGCTAAGTGGTCGAGTGCCATTGAATTCAAAACCCAGTACCAAAAAAAAAAAAAAAGAAGAAGAAGAAGAAATGGTCCTGCCACCTCATTCCCCAGTCCATCCCTACAGAGAACTGAACAGGGGCTAAGGGCCAGGGCTCAGGCCATTTGGCCCTCTCCACGTAGCTACCCTCTCTGGATTCTGGTAATCATATCCTCTCTGTGATAATTCTAAAACAGGTCAGCAAATTCTTTGACATTCCTGCCACAAAAGGTAGTCTAATTTTTCACCCCTTGAAGCACCTGGCTTTTAACAAATATAAAGTGGGAAGAAGTAAACCTGAAGTACTCCTGGGGCTAGACCAAGGCAGAAAGAGTGATATGCTTCCTCTCATCCCCCACTCTTGGAACACACACCTTTGGATCCCTGCACTGCCAGATACAAAGTCCAGCTACCCAGCAATCACCAGCCTGGGGTGAAACCACAGGGACAGAGAGCAGCTCAGAAGCCCAGCACAGGTCAGCATGCAGATGACTCCAGGTCCTGCTGAGAGCCACCCCCAGACACCTGTCCCCAGACCACAGATGAGTGCACAAACTAATTCCTGTTACCACTTCCATCCACTTGGCTTTGCAGCAGTGTGTATGCCACAGTAGCAGTTGGAGCACATTGGCCCTGCAGACCCAAGGTAGTTCAGACTCTGCACCGTGGCCATCCCAGGGTTCCAGGCTTAGTGGTTCCTGTACCATGCTGCACCCGTGCTAAATGCCTCAAATGGCCTGAGTCATCTGGTTTCCTACCAGGGATCTAATGTATGTTTTATTTTTATTTTTATTTTTTTTAGTTGTTGATGGACCTTTATCTTATTCATCTATCATTTATATGTGGTGCTGAGAATTGATGTGAGGCAAGAGCTCTACCACTGAGCCCCAACCCCAGCCCTAATGTATGCTTCATTTAAAAGATAAAGTCATTACCAAATATGCAGAACAATAAGGAATGATAAACAAAATCCAGGTGCCCATCTTCCAGAGTTAACAGATGTTATATCTACTTCTTTGTTGTATTTCCTTCAAATTTTTAAAACATGAAACATAAGGCTCCCTCCCTTAGCTCCCCACCATTCTCAAAGAGAACTGTCATCTTGAAGTTGGTATGTATGAATTTGAGATATTTCAATATTTCTCTTAGCTATGCCTGAACCTATAAGTCATACCTGGCATTCTTTCAAGCCTTTTAATTTGCATGTGATATCACACTGTATTTTTTCTATCCAGCATTATCTTCTTGAATTTACTTGTGATGATTTATGTGTGATTAATTAAATTAGTTTATTTACTGAACTCTAATATACCACCAAACCATGGTTTATCATGTGTTACAATTACAAGCATGAGCAAAATGTAATGCTTTTGCTGAGCCTCCTAGTACACAGGCGCAAATACTCCTCTAGAAGAGGAATTACAGCTTGTGGCCTTGTCCCCATCTTCTACATTACTGGCTATTTTCAAAGTAATTGCACCAGTTTATGCTCCCACTAGCACCTGTTCCGAACAAGAAATGTTCTTCCACCTACCAACAGATAGAAATATGTGTAAGTGTTCATCAGTAAGTGTCAGCATGCTCTCTGAAATAACAGGATGCCTTTCTGGAAAGTGTCATCATAAATGACCCTCACCGGGGGCTGGGGATGTGGCTCAAGCCGTAGCGCGCTCGCCTGGCATGCGTGCGGCCCGGGTTCGATCCTCAGCACCACATACAAATAAAGATGTTGTGTCCGCAGAGAACTAAAAAATAAATATTAAAATTCTCTCTCTCTCTCTCTCTCTCACCCTCTTTAAAAAAATAAAAAAATTAAAAACATAAATGACCCTCATCGGATTGGGGCTGGGGCTCAATGATAGCACACTTGCCTCGCATGTGTGAGGCACTGGGTTCGATTCTCAGCACCATGTATATAAATAAATAAAGATCTATCAACAACTAAAAAAATATATTTAAAAAAAGGACCCTCATACTTCACTCCAGCTAAGGAAGGTGGTTCTCAGACCACCACTGGATGTCTCCCGCCTGCTGCTGCACTTAAATCATATTGGTGGGGGCTGGGGCTGTAGCCCAGTGGTAGAGCACTTGCCTAGCATGTGTGAGGCACTGGATTCCATCCTCAGCACCACATTAAAAAATAAAATAAAATAAAGTTATTTTAAAAAGTACCATTATGGGGCTGAGGTTGTGGCTCAGCAGTGGAGCGCTTGCCTAGCACAGGCGAGGCCTTGGGTTCTATCCTCAGCACCACATTAAAAAAAATTAGAAAAATAAAGGCATTGTGTCCAACTGCAACTAAAAAATAAATATTTAGGGAAAAAAAAGGACCATTTAAAAATAAGTAAATCAGGGCTGGGGCTGTAGATCAGTGGTAGAGCACTTGCCTAGCATGTGTGAAGCACTGGGTTCGATCCTTAGCACCACATAAAAATAAAGGCATTCTGTACATCTACAACTACAAAAAAAAAAAAAGTTTTTAAAAAAGCAAATCACATTTGTGAACATTTGAAATGCAAAGAGAGTTAAAGGCAAGGTCCATGGGGCTGTTGTGGGCTAGTGGCACTTTTCCCCACCAAAAGGGATAGGTTGCATCATTGGCAAGAAGTGTGCCATATGGCAAGGTGCCACTTGCCATCCTAAGTGGAGGAAGAAGATAGAAAAGGGGGTCAACAGCAACTCAGTTCAAGCTCAAGGCGATATGAGGACATTATTTGGTCCAGTCCGTCAGAGACACATGCAAGAGCAAACAGACCCTATTCCTATGGATGACCCTGTGATGTAGACAAAGCTCAGCTTCTACTCAGATCCAGGGGATCACCAAGGGTGGCTAAAGAAAGGAGTCAAAACTAAATGACACAGGTCCAGCAGGCCAAGAACGGCCAATCTGACATGGAAAGTGAGGTAATGTCTTTATATTTAGCCTATCTAGCCTTGTTCAAAACAGGCACAAAGGTGCTTAGGGTGTGGCTTGGGGTAAAGTTCATGCTTAGTATGAATGAAGCCCTCCCTGAGTTTTATCCCCCCAAAATAAATAAGTAAAATATGAGGCACAACTTCCCAGGAAGGGAAAGAAAATTACCAAATGGATCAGGGGCCCAAATAAGACATGTGTATCAAAATCAGGTTTGCAGGTGCTGCTGGGAAACAGAAAACTACCAAGTGCCTCAAGGGCTGTGTTGGCAGCAGAGACAGTAATCAGAGCTGGACACACATCCAGATGCAAGGTACACTCGACTTACAGTGCCAGCCAGGCGACAGGCATGGAGTGTACCCCAAGGCACTACATCACTCCCTTTCCTCCTCTCCCTCCACACCCAGGTGAATGTCCATCCCTACCTCATGGGAGGCAAGAGGCACCTTTGCCCTGCTTGACCTTACAGCAGCGATTCTCCTCTCAAAGTGATGCTGTCCACTTGGGGCTCATGGGACTTTGTCTGTAGGCATTTTTTGGTGGCTACAACTTGGTGGGGGAAGTGCTACTGGCATCTAGCAAGGAGAAGCCAGAGATGATGCTTGCTATTCTACAATGTAGAGCAGCCCCCACCCCCACAAAGGAATGCTCAACCCAAAATGTCACAATGTAAGGCTGAGAAATCCTGCCTTAAAAGGGAGGAACTGGGGCTGTAGCTCGGTGGCAGAGTGCTTGCCTAGCACTTGTAAGGCACTGGGTTTGATCCTTGACACCACATTAAAAAATAAAATTAAATTAAATTCTGTCCATCTATAACTACAAAAAAATTTTTTAAAAGGGGAAGGAACTCTGTTACAGGAATAGTTATCATCCATGGACTGGGCTAAGACCAATTGCTCCATTTCCCCCTTCCAGTGCCCTGCCCATCACTTTTCACATCTAATATTCACACCCCTGGCAACAGTGTCTACCTGAAGTCCCCATGCACCACTGTGGTCCTCTGTTGGCTGGGAAGATGGACAGGCAGCCATTGGATGAGCCTCTCCATCGATGGGATGGTGCTGGTTTCTGCAGCTCGGTACTGCTTAGTCCAGGTTTGCACCTGGCGAGGAAGGTAGTCCCCTAAGAGAAAGAAGATCAGAATGTGGTGTGCCATTTCAATAACCACCAAAGGTTTTGAAAATTATCCAATGCAATGAATCCCTTGGAAATGCTCTGCGGCCATGGCGTCTCTGAACACCTTCCTATGACTGGAGAATTTGCCACATGATGCTCCTGCTGCTCTACTTGGAAACCACCAGCCATTCTGGCTGGTTCAGGGTAGTCTGGGCACTGTTCCCTGGCACATGGCCTCCAAGCCTGATCCCCAGCCCTCTTTGAGATCTTGTGCATTTTCTAATAGCCTTTAAATGACAGTGGGTAGGTGACTTAAGAGCAGAAACTCTAGAGCCAGACTGCCAGAGCTAAATCTCAGGTCTGCCATCTACTAGCTGTGTGATCTCAGGACAGTTCTTAACCTTTCTGTACCTTACTTCCCTTATCTTGAGATGGTTCTCGTAGAGCTTTTGGGAACATAAAATATATAAGTCCTCTGGGTACAGTGGCGTGTGCCTATGATCTCAGATACTGAGGCAAAAGGATCACTCCAGCCTATGAGTTCAAGGCCAGCCTGGGCAACACAACAAGACCTCATCTCAAAAAAAAAAAAATAGAGAGAAAGAAAAATAAAACTTGATAGTATCAAATGCTGGCAAGAATGAGAAGAAACTGGAATTCTCATACATAAAAATAAGTAGATGGGCTGGGGTTACGGCTCAGTGGCAGAGCACTTCCCTAGCACATGTGAGGCACTGGGTTCATATTCTGGCACCACATAAAAATAAACAAACAAAATAAAGGTATCGTGTCCATCTACGACTAAAAAAAATTTTTTTTTAAAAAAGCAGAGGGCTAGGGTTATGGCTCAGTGGTAGAGTACTTGCCTAGCACCTGCGAGGCCCTAGGTTCAATCCTTAGCATCACATAAAAATAAGTAAATAAAGGTATTGTGTTCAACTACAACTAAAATAAAATAATCTGGAACAAGACAGGGATGCCCTCTCTCACCACTTCTGTTCAACATAGTTCTCGAAACACTGGCCAGAGCAATTAGACAGACGAAAGAAATTAAAGGCATCAAAATAGGAAAAGAAGAACTTAAATTATCACTATTTGCAGATGACATGATTCTATACCTAGCAGACCCAAAAGGGTCTACAAAGAAACTATTAGAGCTAATAAATGAATTCAGCAAAGTGGCAGGATATAAAATCAACACACATAAATCAAAGGCATTCCTGTATATCAGCGACAAATCCTCTGAAATGGAAATGAGGACAACCACTCCATTCACAATATCTTCAAAAAAAATAAAATACTTGGGAATCAACCTAACAAAAGAGGTGAAAGACTTATACAATGAAAACTACAGAACCCTAAAGAGAGAAATAGAAGAAGATCTTAGAAGATGGAAAAATATACCCTGTTCATGGATAGGCAGAACTAACATCATCAAAATGGCGATATTACCAAAAGTTCTCTATAGGTTTAATGCAATGCCAATCAAAATCCCAACGGCATTTCTTGTAGAAATAGAGAAAGCAATCATGAAATTCATATGGAAAAATAAATGACCCAGAATAGCAAAAACAACTCTAAGCAGGAAGTGTGAATCAGGCGGTATAGCGATACCAGACTTCAAACTATACTACAGAGCAATAGTAACAAAAACAGCATGGTACTGGTACCAAAACAGGCGGGTGGACCAATGGTACAGAATAGAGGACACAGAAACCAATCCACAAAACTACAACTATCTTATATTTGATAAAGGGGCTAAAAGCATGCAATGGAGGAAGGATAGCATCTTCAACAAATGGTGCTGGGAAAACTGGAAATCCATATGCAACAAAATGAAACTGAATCCCTTTCTCTCGCCATGCACAAAAGTTAATTCAAAATGGATCAAGGAGCTTGATATCAAATCAGAGACACGCCGTCTGATAGAAGAAAAAGTTGGCTACGATCTACATACTGTGGGGTCGGGCTCCAAATTCCTCAATAGGACACCCATAGCACAAAAGTTAATAACTAGAATCAACAAATGGGACTTACTTAAACTAAAAAGTTTTTTCTCAGCAAAAGAAACAATAAGAGAGGTAAATAGAGAGCCTACATCCTGGGAACAAATCTTTACTCCTCACACTTCAAATAGAGCCCTAATATCCAGAGTATACAAAGAACTCAAAAAATTAGACAATAAGAGAACAAACAACCCAATCAACAAATGGGCCAAGGACCTGAACAGACACTTCTCAGAGGAGGACATACAATCAATCAACAAGTACATGAAAAAATGCTCACCCTCTCTAGCAGTCAGAGAAATGCAAATCAAAACCACCCTAAGATACCATCTCACTCCAGTTAGATTGGCAGCCATTAGGAAGTCAAACAACAACAAGTGCTGGCGAGGATGTGGGGAAAAGGGTACACTTGTACATTGCTGGTGGGACTGCAAATTGGTGCAGCCAATTTGGAAAGCAGTATGGAGATTTCTTGGAAAGCTGGGAATGGAGCCACCATTTGACCCAGCTATTCCCCTTCTCGGTCTATTCCCTAAAGACCTAAAAAGAGCATGCTACAGGGACACTGCTACATCGATGTTCATAGCAGCACAATTCACAATAGCAAGACTGTGGAACCAACCTAGATGCCCTTCAGTAGATGAATGGATAAAAAAAATGTGGCATTTATACACAATGGAGTATTACTCTGCATTAAAAAATGACAAAATCATAGAATTTACAGGGAAAGGGATGGCATTAGAGCAGATTATGCTAAGTGAAGCTAGCCAATCCCTAAAAAACAAATGCCAAATGTCTTCTTTGATATAAGGAGAGTAACTAAGAACAGAGTAGGGTCGAAGAGCATGAGAAGAAGATTAACATTAAACAGGGATGAGAGGTGGGAGGGAAAGGGAGAGAGAAGGGAAATTGCATGGAAATGGAAGGAGACCCTCAGAGTTATACAAAAGTACATACAAGAGGAAGTGAGGGGAAAGGGAAAAATAATACAAGGGGGACAAATGAATGTCAGTAGAGGGGGCAGAGAGAGAAGAGGGGAGGGGAGGGGAGGGGAGGGGGATAGTAGAGGATAGGAAAGGCAGCAGAACACAACAGACACTAGTATAGCAATATGTAAATCAATGGATGTGTAACTGATGTGATTCTGCAATCTGTATATGGGGTAAAAATGGGAGCTCATAACCCACTTGAATCAAAGTGTGAAATATGATATATCAAGAACTATGTAATGTTTTGAACAGCCAACAATAAAAAATAAAAAAAAATAAAATAAATATTTTTTAAAAAGCAGAAACAAGGGCTGGGGCAGTATGTCAGTGGTAGAGCGCTTGCCTCGCGCATGTGAGGCACTGGGTTTGATCCTCAGCAACACATAAAAATAAATAAAGCAGATATTGTATGTCCACCTAAAACTAAAAAAAAAATTTTTAAAAAGCAGAAACAAAATATACAAATGTAATATCTTGGCATAACGACATTTTAAAAACCTATCCTTGTTAAAAAGATCAACGAAGAAAATAGATGAAAAGGAGAACATGTTGGGTATGGGGGCACACATCTGCAATCCCAGATACTCAGGAGGCAGGAAGATCACAAGTGAGAGGCCAGCCTGGGCAATTTAGTGAGAACCTGTCTCAAAATAAGAAATAAAAAAGGAACTGGGGTGGTGGCCCTGGGGATGTGGCTCAGTGGTACAGCACTTGCCTCACATACACAAGGCCTGGGCTCCATCCCCAGCACTGCAAACAAACAAAAAAAACATGAACCTAAATTTTAAAGTCCTTCTTATGTTCATCAAACACTTGGTTGTTAACAAACCATTCAGATCCATGTGGCACCTGCTTACCTTGCTTCCCATAGTCGTCAAGGCCTGCAGCCTGGAGGTCCACACTGTGAATTTTGCACAAGACTCTGTTCATGGCAGTGTATATGGCTTGCCTCTGGCTGGGCTCCAAGCCTGGTAGAGAGGGGTCTTTGTAGATGAGGCCTGGGCAGTACTCCATCAGATAGAAGGGAGTGCCGATGACACTGGGATGGACAGAGACGAACTTCAGGGACCCAATGCATAATGTGATAGGCTATCAGCCACAACACTGCTCCTACAGTTTCTGTGCACAGACGGGATATGGATTGCTGGGGAAGAGCTCAGACCCAAAATACTGGACATAAAGGATATATGCATATTTACATACTGCACATTTCCTTTTTCTTTTGAACCTAAGTACAGGTGTTAGAAGTAACTCTTCCCAAACACACCCACATGCGCACACACATGCACACACCTGTTCTTTTAGGCCCATCTGTAGAAGTCATTGGAATGGGCTTAAATGTGATAATACATAAAGCAGCATGGTTGAGAGAGGAGGCTTTGGGGTCATAAAGAACCAGCCTAAGGGCTGGAGTTGTAGCTCAGTGGTAGAGTGCTTGCCTAGCACATGTGAGGCACTGGGTTTGATCCTCAGCACCACATAAAATAAATAAATAAAGATATCGTGTCCATATACAACTCAAAAAGAAAAAGAAAAAAGAACCAGACTTAAATCCTACCTCTCTGTACTTTACTAATAGTGTGACCCTGAGAATCTTACTAAACCTCTCTGAAGCTTTGTTGTTGGTAATCTGTAAAACATATCCACTTCCAAGGGTTACTTTAAGGCTTGGCACGGTGGCACACACTTGCAATCCCAGCAACTCAGGAGGCTGAGGCAGGAGGATTGCAAGTTCACAGCCGGCCTGAGCAACCTAGTGAGACTCTGTCTCAAAATAACAATAAAAATGTAGGGCTGCCAGTAGCGCACACACACAAAGGTAGTTCTAAGAACTAAAGGAACAAATAGAGTATCTGGTATGGTATCTGGGTCCAGTGAAGGGTCAATGTGTATCCCTTCTTGTTATTGATGTTATTTTCACCATTATTTAGTGGTCCGAATGGCACATATCCTGCCTGACAGTAGCGCAATAACCCACTGATAGTTCATCAAGCCATTTGTTAATCATTACTAAAAATCAGTTTACTACTCTAAAAAGTAGTTTTGAAAATTTCATCATTTTAAATGTTTGTTCTGATTTGAAAAACTGTCATAAAATATATCCATGGGCTAACTAAGGAAATTTGAACACAGACTAAAAAGATATTAAATAATATTAAAGTACAGCCAGCTCTCTAGATCTATGCGTTTTGCATAAATGGAATTAATCAACTATTGATCAAAATTATTTGGGGGAAAAATATACATCTATACTGAGTATGTACAGAGTTTTTCCTAGTCACTATTCTCTAGACAATATAGTGTAACAACTGTTTCCATAGCCCTGACGTAGTGTGCCACGTAAATAGTTAGGTGCTATGTAAAATGACATACTATAAGTAACCTAAAGATGAGTTAAAAATAAAAAGAAGATGTGTAGAGGTCATATGCAAACGCCATGCCATTCCACACAAGGCACTTGAGCATCCTCAGATTTTGAGGTCTTCAGGGCATCGTGGAACCAGCCTTTTGAGGATGATTCCTCTCTTATCTCTGGTTGGAAAAAAAGCATTTAAAAAATATTTATTTTATAGTTGTAGTTGGACACAATACCTTTATTTCACTCATTTATTTTTTATGTGGTGCTGAGGATTGAACCCAGGGTCTCACACGTGTGAGACAAGCGCTCTACTGCTGAGCCACAACCCCAGCCCCGAAAGAAAGCATCTTTATTATTTTTTTATAATTAATTCTTCATCTGTACATTTCTTTTTTATTTAAAAAAATTTTTTTAGTTGTAGATGGACACAATATCTTCACTTATTTATTATTTATTTATTTATTTTCGTGGTGCTGGGGATTGAACCCAGGGCCTTTTGCATGTGCAGCAAGCACTCTACCAACTAAGCTATATCCCCAGCCTTTCATTTATTTATTTTTATGTGGTGCCGAGGATCAGATCCAGTGCCTCACATGAGCAAGGTAGGTGCTCTATCATGAGCTACAGCCCCAGCCCCTTAGCATCTTTATTCTTAAGAGATGCATACTATCTACAACTTACTTCAAAAGGTTCAGACAAAAAAACATTCCATACATACAAATAAAAAAAATACATATACACATGCACATACACATATCTACCTCCACATGCAGAGAGCAAATGTGGAAAATTTTAACATTTTAATCTAGATGAAGTATAAATAAGTGGACGTTATTTTTTCTCCTCCCCAATTTTTTTTTTCAAATTTTTCACAATGTAAAAGTTGAGAAAAAAGAGAGACTCAAAAAGCATGTTACAAAGCAGTTTTAAACAGATTGGAAAGACCACAATGAAAATTTTAATTAAAAAAGAGCAACATGAAACAAGATGGATATATATTTTTTAAAAGCTAAAAAAAGCTATTTGCTATCAATCCCCATAAGAGCAGACGTGTCTTCTTCTTTCAGGATAGCTTCAAGATCTGGACTTCTGAGGGAGTCTGCTGCATAGTTTCTTTTTTCTCTGACCCAAAATTTATTTGTATTTAACAGACTGGCATCTGAGTTAGTAAATAGGCTTTCTCTCCTGTAGTCTGAATTTGAAATGGCAAAAATACATTTGAACTTTACCTTGAATCTTCACAGAGGTCAAGAACTCTGGGGACTGGCACTCCAGCTTTTGCAAGGGCTTTCATTATCCTGCAGAACAAATAAAAATGAGCACAACCACTCATTTTCTTGAATTTAGTTTTCTGATTTAAGAAATGGTACACTGGGGATGGGGTGTGGCTCAGTGATTGAGTGCTTGCCTAGCATGTGTGAGGTTCTGGATTCAATCCAGCAACACACACACACACACACACACACACAAATGGGGCTGGGGATGTGGCTCAAGCGGTAGCACGCTCGCCTGGCATGTGCGGGGCGCTGGGTTCGATCCTCAACACCACATAAAAATAAAATAAAGATGTTGTGTCCACCTAAAACTGAAAAAAAAAATTCAAATGACTCAGAAGTAAATAATAAGACTAAAACAATTCTCTGGAAATTTATATTATTGGGATGTGAGCCCCAGGGGGCCCTCCTTCTGGGATACTAAGCCTTTTTCAGGAAAAAAAAAAGAACAAAACAAGTAGAATGAACAGAAACCAATTAGTGAAATTATGGACCTAAATCAAACAAATCAATAATTACCTTAAATTTGATAGGTAAAACATTGCAATAAAAAGACAGAAGTTGCTGAGGTTGTGGCTCAGTGGTAGTGTACTTGCCTGGCATATGTGAGGCACTGGGTTTGATTCTTAGCACCACATATAAATAAATAAAATAAAGGTTTATCAACAACTAAAAAAAAACTTTAAAAAGACAGAAGTTGTCAGGGTGCATAGAAAAGCATAACCTAACTATATGAGGTCTACAAAAGACATACTTGAAACATAAAACATAGGTAGGTTGGAAATGGAAGGATGGAAAGATTAGTACTGTGTAACTGGTAAACACAAGAAAGTGGCATACTTGAATATCAGATGAAATTGATTTTAAGACAAGAGAATTACCAGAGACACGGAGGAACATTTTAGAATGATGCATTGGGAAGACGTTATAGTCCTAAGTGCACACGTGCCTAACAGAACTTCAAACACATAAAATGAAAATGCACAAACCCACACAGCTGAGATTTATCACCCTCTGTCAGTAATCAGATAGGCCAACAAAATCAGGTTTACCTAAAGACACAGATCTGAAAATTATTGACAAACTTGACCCGATTGGCATTTATAGAACATTTGGTCAGCAATTGCAGAACATGTATTATTTTCACATGCTGGTCTGTAAAATAAATCTCAATAAGTTTCAATAAATATTGAAATCATATGGAGTATTTCTCACACTTTGTTAGAATAAAACTAGGAACTTATATCTAGATAAAAACATATATTGCAAAATTAATACATTTATAATTAAACCATGAGATATAGAAGAAATAACAAGAGATATCAGAAAACATTTCAACTGTAATAATAATAATAATAATAATAATAATAATAATAATGGGTCAGATTTGTAAGATGCACCTAATGAAGTACTTAGAAATAACTTTAAATGCTTTTATTAGAAACGAAGGAAGATTTTAAGTAAATGATCTAAGATTATATCTCAAAAAGCTAAAAATAGGTTGGAGTTGTGGCTCAGTGGTAAAGTGCTTGCCTAGCATGTGTGAGGCACTGGGTTCAATTCTCAGCACCACATATAGATAAATGAATAAAATAAAAGTCCATCAACGTCTAAAAAATTTTTTTAAAAAAAGAAGGTAAAAATAAACCTGGAGTAAGTAGCTATAAAGGAATAAAGAGAAGAAATAAAATGGAATAGAAAAGAGACAACAGGAAAAGTTAACAAAACTAAATAAAAGTTATTTGGAAATATCAAGACAATTGATAAATATCTAGCTAGACTGATTTGAGAGAGATACAAAGTACAGATCAATATCAGAAATGATAAAGAGGGGATATCACCACAGATTCTATACATATTAAAAGGATAATAAAGGAATATTATGAGCAATAACTATGACAACTTAGATTAAGTGAAGAAATTCCTTAGAAATTATAACTAATCAAAACTAAAAAGAGATGAAATGAGATATTTGAATAACTCTGTTTATTAAGTTGAATTAATATTTAAAACTTTCTCCAAAACTCCTAGCTCTAAAGGATCTACTGGTGAATTCCATAAACTATATGAAAATTTTTAATTTTAAAAGAAAGATAATTACCCATAGTCTTATCACCAACTGGCTGCTTTTACTGCCTACCTGGTATCCAGTCCCCTTTTGCTTTTTCAGACTTTTCTTTGGGAAATGTCCTCCCCATTCTCAGTCCACAGGGTCTAAGTGAGACTGAATCAAACCCAGGTTCTAGAGATGGGCACAAGATCAAGACATGACCAGTCTAGTCAATGCACCTCCCAGTCACAGAATAGTCCAGGGATAGACCTCTGACACAAAATGGGCCATGAGTCAGTCTCAGGAGATACGCAGAAACATACACTGGGGTTCTCAAGGAAAGAAAAAACCAGAGATGGAGAGAGAAAGAACATGTGGGCCCTGGTGCCATTATTTGAGCCCTGGACCCAGCCATGGCTGAAAGATTTAAATTATGAAATCAAATGTTTTATCATATCATCCTCCCTATTTTTTTTCTTGAATGCTTAAGTAAAGCTAGGTGGGTTCTGTGCAAGTGAAGAATACTAACAAGCTACCCAAACATGACTATGGTTAACATTTTAAAGTGTTCATTTCCAGTATTTTTTTCCTATGCATGTCTTTAAAAAATGATACACTTGAATTTGTCTTTATTCTCCTAACTTTTGTCATATACATTTTTCTATTATTAAAGCATATTTAATTGGGTATAATAGCAGCATAATCACTAATATTATAGAGCCAGGTGTGATGGCACACGCCTGTAATCCCAGCTACTTAGGAGGCTGAGGCAGGAGTTTGCAAATTCAAGGCCAACCTCAGCAACTTAGTGAGATTCTCAGCAACTCAGTGAGGCTCTGCCTCAAAATAAAATGTAAAAAGGACTGGAGATGTAGCTCGGCAGTAAAGTACTCCTGGGTTCAATCCCCAGTATCACAAATAAATAAATAATAATAATACATAACATTTTTTAAAAAAATTGGGCTATAGAATCCCAGTGTCTGGCTATGCAGCCAGACTCTACCACTCCTTTAACCAGTGTGTGCCCTGTATGTGCCCTTTACCTTTTTACATCTCACTTTTCTCAGCTATAAAGTGGGGATCATGATCACAGCAAATCAGAATTGGGAGAATGCTTTCATTTAAGCATTGCTTATAGCACCTGGTAAGTACTAAACATTCTACAAATGTTAGCTACTCCTATTACTGTTGTAGAAACAAGTAGATATATTGAGGTTTACATAATCATTTCCTGATTATTCTACCCCAAGTGGATTTCAAAGTTTTTATTATTAGAAACAACACTATGGGGGCTAGGGCTATAGCTCAGTGGTAGAACGCCTGCCTTGCACATGTGAGGCACTGGGTTTGATCCTTAGCACCACATATAAATAAATAAATAAATAAATAAATAAACAACACTTATGGGCTTGGGGATGTGGCTCAGTTGGTAGAGTGCTTGCCTCACATGCACAGGGCCCTGGGTTCAATCCCCAGCACCACAAAGAAGAAGAAAAACAAACAAACAAACAAACAAACAACACTATGGTGAGGGTATTCATGCATAAAGATTTTTTTCCTATTTAGAATTAGTCATTTAGGTACCAAAAATTGAAATTATTAAATCTTTTTTAAACTGTATTTATTTATTATTTTATTTTTAAAATTGTAGTTGAATATAATACCTTCATTTCATCCATTCATCTCTGTGTAGTGCTGAGGATCAAACCCAGGGCCTCAAATGTGCTAGGCGAGCGCTCTACCACTGAGCCACAACCCCAACCCAAAATTATTAAATCTTCAAGTATGAATACTCTGAGGCTTTTAATGAATTGTATCATATTATTTTTCAGAATAGTTCAAATCTATAAGCAGGTACTGCATTGTTTTATCTTCAAATATGGTTTATTTTTTAACACAATGGAAATTCCATGCGTGTCTGGATTTTTTTTTTTTAAGTACTGGGTATTGAACCCAGGGGTACTCAACTACTGAGCCACATTCCCAGTCCTTTTTACAGGGTCTCACTGTGTTGCTTAGGGCCTCACTAAATTACTGAGGCTGACTTTGAACTCAGGATCCTCTTGCCTCAGCCTTCTGAGCCGCTGGGATTACAAGTATGTGCTACTGCACCCAGCATGCGTAGATATTTTGAATGTCGTTCTATTACTCCAAAATTCCTTGGTACCTCTGGGATTGGTTAGAGAGAATTTGTGCACAGAAAAGAGAGCAGCAGTTTTACAGCTTGGGCTTCTGTCTACAAACACACACCTGGTATTACATGGGCGCATCTATATAAATGCTTAGAAAGAGCTATAGCTTTTCTCTTCTGAGGAACCCCTAAGCCTTCATAATCATCAGTCAGCAGTCCTCACAACACCTGGACAAGTCATATTCTAAGATCCCAAAAGTGAAGAAGAGAGATAGAAAACAACCTGGAGGTGGAAGGAGGGCGGCCAAGAGTCACATTCTCCTGCATGACTCTGGGACTCCTTTTGTAGAACATAATGGGCTGCCAGTGAGAAGGAAGAACAGGACAGAAAATTTCCAGTCACTCTAGAGCTCTTTCATGGTTTGTATTAATTCTCTAATTGATTTGGAGCTAGATTTGTTTCAAACTTGTTTGTTTAAATGTTCCTCTATGCAAACAATCTATTTTACTTGGGATGGTTATAATATCTTTATTCTCATAAACCTTTTATACTAGAAAATTTTAAACATATACATAACTAGAGCACTTTGGCTAGGAGTGGTGGTTACAATCCCAGCAACTCAGGAGGCCAAGACAGGAGGACCACAAGTTCAAGGCCAAACTTGGCAACTTAGCAAGACCCTCAACAACTTAGCAAGACCCTGTCTCAAAATAAAAATTAAAAATTAAAAGGACTGAGCAAGTAGCTAAGTGGTAAAGCATCCCTTGGTTTAATCCCCAGTCTAAACAAAAAAAAAAGTAGAGTGATTTGTATAATAAACCCTTATGTACCCATCATTCAGCTCTGATGGTTACCAACTCATTGCCATGCTTGTTTTGGCTATAACCCCACTAATGTTCAATTTTCCCCTGGTACTAGGGATTAAACCCAGTGATGCTCTATCTACCACTGAGCCACATACTCAGACCTTTTAATTTTTTTTAAATTTTGAGACAGGGTCTCATTAAGTTGCAGAGCCTGGCCTCAAATTTGTAGCTCTCTGGCCTCAATCTCCCAAGTAACTGAGATTATTTACGGGCATGTACCACCAAACGCAGCTTAATGTGTTGATTTTAAGACTAAAGTTCTTGAGTGGGGCATAGTGGTGCATGCCTGTAACTCAGTGGCTCAGCAGAGGCAGGATGATGGCAAATTCAAGGCCAGCCTCAGCAAATTAGCAAGACCTGTCTCAGTAAATTATGAAAAAGGGTTGGGGATGTGGCTCAGTGGTTAAGTGCCCCTGGGTACAATCTCCAGTACAAAAAAACAAAACAAAATAAAAAAACACTAATGGTCTTAAAGATTTCAATCTTTCCTTAAAAGTCCTTATGCCAGGAAGGGCAGTATATACCCATAATCCCAGTAACCCAGGAGGCTGAGACAGGAAGATCACAAGTTAAAGGCCAACCTCAGCAATTTAGTGAGGCCCTAAGCAATTTAGTAAGAGCTTGTCTTAAAATAAAAAAATTAGAAAAAATTTTTTGAAGAGCTGGGGATGGAGCTCAGTAGGTAAAACACACCTGGATTAAACAAACCTCTGGTACAGAAGGAAAAAAAAAGGTGCATAAGACAGAACTGGGATGTAAAGTGTTTGTCTAACATGTTCAAAGCCCTGGGTTCAATTCTCAGTGCCACAAAAAAAAGGGCAAGATTAAAAAGTATTTTGACCCTGACATTTTTTTTCTTTTATAGGTTCTAAAAGAGTGTAGCCTCCTACAGATTTGGTTATAGAAAAGAAAAGATAAACTTATAAATAAAATTAGGTACTCAGGGGCTGGGGTTGTGGCTCGGTGGTAGAGCGCTCACCTAGCATGGGTGAGGCACTGGGTTCAAGCCTCAGCACCACATAAAAATAAATAAACAAAATTAAAGGTATTATGTCCGCCTACAACTTAAAAAATATTTTTTAAAAGATTAGGTACTCAGGGGCTAGGGTTATGGCTCAGAGGGAGAGTGCTTGCCTAGCATGTGTGAGGCATTGGGTTCGATTCTCAGCACCACATAAAAATAAAAATATTGTGTCCACCTATAACTAAAAAATAAATATATATTTTTTTAAATTAGGTACTCAGGAGGCTGAGGCAGGAGGATTGCTTGAGCTCAAGAATTAAGGACCACCAGGGCAACATAGCAAGATCTGCCTCAAAACAAAAACAAAACAAAACAAATTAGATTGCATGTCCTTATTTGAAATACGGTGGAGATTCATAGCAGCAGTTGTAAATGTCTTAAAGCTCTCTTATAGAAGCTAATCCATGTTTTAGGGCTGAACTTGTGCATGGTGCCACCCCCACCCTGGCCCCTAAGAATTTACCTGAACTCCCTCTCTATCGCATGGGCAGATGGAAGGAGAGTCCCTGGTGGCTTCTTCCTCAGAACCAGCTGATGACTGGGCAGCCTGATGTAGTAAGTCGGGTTTGACTGCCCGTGATCAAACTGAAGGAGCTCCATTGGGCCTGCGAGTTAGAAAACAGACATTCCAAGAGGATCTGGAGCCCAGGTTTGCACAGATATTGCTTTTCTTCTTCTTTTTTTTTTTCCTGTTACTGGGGATTAAACCCAAGGGTACTTTACCTCTGGGCTACATCCCCAGCCCTTTCTTAAACTTTTTTTATTGCATTATTTTATTATTTTTTTTTTTAGTTGTAGATAGACACAATACCTTTATTTTTATGTGGTGCTGAGGATTAAACCCAGTGCCTCACATTTGCTAGGCAAGTGCTCTATCACTGAGCTACAACCCCAGCCCAAATTAATTAATCAATTAAAAAATTTTTTTGACTTGCACATGGATGCAATGCCTTTATTTATTTTTGTGGAGTGCTAAGGATAGAACCCAGGGCCTCACTTAAGCTAGGCAAGCACTCTACCATTGAGCTATGACTCCATCTCCAATTTTGTTTATTTTTGTGATAGGGTCTCACTAAGTTGCTTAGTACCTTGCTAAATTGCTGATGCTGGCCTTGAACTCGCCATTCTTCTGCCTCTGCTTCCCAAGCTGCTGGGATTACAGATGTGCACCTGGCTCAAAGATTCCTTCTTTCTTTCTTTTTTAAAATATTTTTTAGTTGTTGATAGACCATTATTTAATTAATTTATTTATTTATAGGTGGTGCTGAGAATCAAACCCTGTGCCTCACACATGCTAGGCAAATGCTTTACCACTGAGCCACAACCCCAGCCCAAAGATTCCTTCTTTCTAATGAGTTCTGAATGGAGATCCAGATCCTCCCACTCTGGGAGGCAGGACAAGAAAAGCACCTTCCCCTGGTGCCACAGCAACTCAGCCCTTGGCTCACCCTGCCAGTGGGGTTCCAGAATCACAGGCTACTACAGTGTGGCAAAGGCCACTCACTTGACACCATAATCTTTTCTCACTTTGTACGGGTGTCCAGTTCTCTCCTTCTTGCCAATTCCTGCCCCATGAACAAAAGCACTTTAGTTTTGTTTATTAACCACAAGCACAGTCATGGCAACCCATCAGGCAAATGGAATGCTTTAGGCCTAAGAAAAAAAGTGCCCTTGTGGTGTCCCTTGCCTACACTTGGCCAAGCCACATCTGACTCCGGAGAGACAGCTGAAAGGATCTAAGCAGATGCCTTCACCTTCAGCCAAAGCTGCTTTCAGGAGATGCACTTCCCCACCCCACCAGGTGAGTTTTGTGGCTCCTTCACAGGCTCTAGGTGCAGGTGAACCCAATTAGCCCTCAGCTTGACAGCAAGATGAACCTCTGAACATGTATTCCTTTCACTTGGTCAGGAGAGCAGGCTCACATGGGAGTTGGCCTGAGTTAGCTGGCCTGGTCACAACAAGCCCTTCAGCATTGTGGAAACACTACCAAGAATCCAGATGCTGACCTGATGTGGAACTCCAGAAATAAAAGCCTTTTCTGAGGATCCACTGGGTGAAGCAAATTTTATCACCAAATAGAAATTTCTTCAAAAGCCCACAAGGTTCCTGTTTTGCTCAAGGTGAAATGTAAGGATCAAGAGACAGGCCTTTGAAGAGGTGGAGTCAACCTGTCACTTCTTCAAGTCATGAAGCTTGGAAGTCACCTTCACAAAACAGGCTGTTGTTTCAAAAAATTAACAACAATAACCCCCCTGTGCACGTAAGTACTCCCAAGTTCCCTGCTCCTTGCTGGCTGCTGGAAGGTGAATGCTGCTATGTGAAACTCTCAGGTGGATGATCAAGGCTTCTACCCAAGCAAAACTAAAAGCAGCACTTGGACATGCCAGGCCACTTGGCTATTTTCCTCTCCACTTTGATTCTCTGTTGCTGGCGTGTTCATCAAGGTTTGAAAGTGAGAATCAGACTGAATGCCTTGTCTTGAAGAGTCACCCAAACATAAAATCTTCCATACCTGTGGTCTGGGTCCCGAGCAAGCCCTTGAGGTACTTCTCCAAGGCATCTTTTGGAATTTCCATGGTCTTCCTCACAGGACGAGTGTTGGGAATACCCACACGCAACGGAAACCCCAGGAGAGCTTCCAACTCCCTCACTGCAGCCTCTGGGTCATCAACCTGATTTCAGAGAGAATACCCACCATGAGCCACCATCAACCCTGCCTCTTCTCTGCCCCCTATGAGGGTAGTTCTTCAGAGGGAAATAAATATCCAAGCAGCCAGCTAACAAGGAACCAGAATGAGTCTCCTCTTCCATTTAATTCCTGACCACACTGTACTTAATTTATTTGTTGTTGTTTTTTTAATTACATTTCTTTCTTTTTTGTGGTTGGAAATTGAACTTGGGGTGCTTAACCACTGCACTATAACCCAGCCTTTTTGAAAATTTCTTATTTTCAGACAAGATCTCGCCAAGTTGCTAAGTCTGGCTTTGAATTTGCGATTCTCTTGCTTCAGCTTGGAAGTCTGGGATTACAAGGATGCACCACCAGGCCTGGCTCTACCTTGAACTTTCTTTTTTCTTTTTTGGATACTGGAGATTGAACTCAGGGGCACTCCACCCCTGAGCCACATCCCCAGCCCTATTTTGTATTTTATTTAAAGACAGGGACTCACTGAGTTGCCTAGCGCTTCGCCATTGCTGAGGCTGGCTTTTTTTTTTTAATAGTTGTAGATGGACAGCATGCCTTTATTTTATTTGATTATATTTATGTGATGTTGCGGATCAAACTCAGCACTTCAGACATGCTAGGCAAACGCCCTGCCACTGAGCCACAATCCCAGCCCGTGGGGCTGGCTTTGAACTCACAATCCTCCTGCCTCAGCCTCCAAGCTGCTGGGATTATAGGTGTGTGCTACCATGCCTGGCTTCTACCTTGAACTTTCTACCTGTATGGAAGAGTGCTGGTTGAGTTCACAGTCTACTTTGTACCAAGAGGACAGAAGACTATGGCTGCAGCATCTGCTGTGTCCCTCCCTGTGTCAGCTTCGTGATGGAAATTAAATGTAGAAAGCTGGCTATTCCCCTGCTATAGTATGGCTTCTATGCTTCACATCATGACCTGGGGAGACCCATATGGCTAGTAGCTGCTAGCCCCCCACCTAGAAAAAATCACTCAGACAGTATGAACACCACCCCAGACGTCTTAGTTTGCCCTGCACCTCCTTCACATCTCTGTGCTCAAACTATCTTCTTTGTACATGTCTGTCTTGCTCCCTGCTGACAAAACAAGCAACTAGTCACAGATTACATAACTGATTTTAAAAAATGATGACTATGGAAATAAGGGGGAAGCCTGGAGCCACTACGGAAAGCTATAGCTGCAAGTGTAAAAAGATGGCATAAAGTGCTTGCACTAATTCTTGGTACATGGTAGGGCGTTCAAAAACTGATGATGCTTACCTTAATGGTGTGAATACCAAGGCTGGCAGCTGCTTTTAGATTTGGGCCCAGATCATCAAGAAAGATGGACTCGGAGGGCTGCAGGCCGAGCCGTGCCAAGCACAGCTGGTATATCCTGGGGTCTGGCTTACAGATACCTTCCAGGCAGGATTCCACCACCTGAGGGGGGACAGGAGAGAGCAATGGCCCTAAAGGTATAGCTTTCACAAGCATGCTGGCGTATTTTTTGAGAAAGAGCAGAAGGGGGACAGTTGAGATGCATTAGAACAACTCAGAAGTGTTAGAATATTAAAATGACATTGTTTTGGTAAGTTGAGTAACTAAAAAATTCTGGGTTACAACCTGGGGGCCAAACTCAAGAAAACCAAATTTCTTCACTGTGGCCTTTACAACCAAATGGCCTTAGTTTAATCATCAGTAAAATGGGAACAATAATAGCCATCTTACCTATCTTAGTGGTTATTGAGAAACTTAAGTGAGTTCCAAAATTAACAAGGCACTTGCTAATGTCATATTTACAGAGAATTTTACAATTTCCCCAAAAGTACATTTTACCCATAGTACTGGAGGCCATGTGACAGGAGAAATCACAAACAGAATCCTCATCATGTCTCAGGGACTGAAACACATGACTGCACAGTATAATCTCTTGTGGAACTTTTCATAAATAAACATGCCAAGGTCCCACTCACACACACCTAACAACAATCTCCAGGGAAGGGGACCTGTGTCTTCACAAACTCCCAGGCCATGCTGATGGAACGCAGAGTTGAAAATATTTAATCTCACCTGTCCAATGAAGGGTATAAATACACAGAGGAATAGACCAGAGGCAGGGAACATACCACTTTCTAGAGTCAAACCACAATATCTCTTCCAAGAATGGAAAGAAACAGAAAGGGACTCTGCTGGTGAAATATACAATACTCGAATTATCAGAGAAATTTCCTCCAGTGGGTTCTAGAGCCTTCCATGATTCTCATGGTATTTGGTGAGATGCGTCTATGGCACTGACTTGGATTATCCACAGAGAATGGGCCAGCGGGAAGGGGCCTCCTGATCCATCACAACTCTGGAAGGCCCTGAAAGACTTGCTGCCACTCTGGACTTTGGAGTTATGCTGCTGTTGGTTTTAAGACAAAAATAAGCATTTAAAGGGTACACAAATATAGCCAGGCACAAAGTGGTGCATGCCTCTAATCCTAGCTACTTGGGAGGCTGAGGTAGGAAGACCACAAGGTTGAGGTCAGCCTGTACAACCTAGTGAAACCCTGTCAGAAAATGCAAATTTAAAAACAGCTGGGGATGTAGCTCAGTGGTACAGCACTTGCCTAGCACACACAGGCCCTGGCTTTAATCCACAGCACTGCAAAATAATAATAATAATAATAATAATAATAATAATAATAATAATAATAATAATAATAATAAAATAAATAAACAAACAAAAAAATCCAAATATAGCCAAACATGTTAAAATTATATCACAGGCATTAAAGGCCGGACAGCACTGATGTAGGAATTAAAATCACAAAAACAGAGGATAATATAGTTGGTCTTAGAAGAAAAGAGGCCAACAGACCCATTAAGATTTGTGGGGGACACAAAGGACTGTGTTAAGATCAGCCTAAAGTTCCAAGTGGGAATGTAAAGGGGGTCTTTAAAGCAGAAGTTTCTTCTTCTTCTTTTTGGTGTTGAACCCAGGGGAGCTCCACCACTGAGTCACAGCCCCAGCCTTTTAACTTTAGAGTTTGAGACAGGGTCTCATTAAGTTGCTTCAGGCATTGATACATTGCCCAGAAAGTCCTGGAACTCAATTCTCCTGCCTCAACCTCCCAAATCGTTGGGATTACAGCATGTATCACCACCTGGCACTACAGATTCAAACTCCACAAATGTTTGGCCTTGCTAAGAGCATAGTGAAATTTTTAAAACCCCGTTTCAACCTATTAGGTCTGAACCTAACTCAGGTTAGAGATGCAATGTTGCACCCTGAAGCAAGAGCACGGACCATGCTTCCCTTGGTTTGAATCCTCAAGCTTACCACGTCAAACTGTTTCTGGTCCACAGGCAAAAAACTTTTCCCATTGGGAAGACGAAAATTATTGCTTAAGACCGCGGTCTGAAGGCCTTTCGATCGAATTTGAGAGATGGCCTCAGTCATCACTGGGAACTGCTTCGCCACTTGCTTACTTGTCAGCAGAGAGAAAAACGAGTCCACGGGCACGGAGGTCTCTGACTGTGAACAGGAGAGGAGGGGAGAACCAGTGGTCAGGAAGAGTGAGAGCCATGCATGACCCACGGGAAAAAAATACTGATTCCTGGCTTCTTACGGCTCCATGGTTGACAGAGCCCAGTTCATTTACTTGCTGCCTGAAGGAACTGAATCGTTCAGCTCCTCTTTGGAACTCTGTATGGGAGTTTTGGGTGGTGGTGTTTTTTTGGGGTTTTTTTGGTGGGGAGGGGTGGTACAGGGGCTTGAACCCAGAGATGCTTAACCACTGAGCCACATCCCCAGCCCTTTTTTATATTTATTTAGAGACAGGGTCTCCCTGATTTGCTCAGGGCCTCACTAAATTACTGAAGCCGACTTTGAACTCACAATCCTCCTGCCTCAGCCTCCCAAGTTGCTGGGAATACAGGCGTGCCCACCATGCCTGGCTTGTTTTTTTTTTTTTTTCTTTGAGACAGCAATGTTGCCGAGGATGATCTCAAACTCCTGGGCTCAAAGCAATCCTCTTGCCTAAGCCTCTGCATGCTTGTCTACAAATGAATGTGTATTATAAGTATTTATGTATGTATGTATGGTACTGGGGATTGAACCCAGGTGCCCTCTACCACTGAGCCACATCCCGAGCCCTTTTTTTAACTTTTTATTTATTTATTTATTAGTTGTACATGGACACGAAGCCTTTATTTTGTTTACTAATTTTTTATGTGGTGCTGAGGCTCAAACCCAGTGCCTCCTAAGTGCTAGGCAAGCGCTCTACCACTGAGCCACAACCCCAGCCCCTTTTTTTAACTTTTATTCTGATAAAGTCTTGCTAAGTTGCCAAGGTTGGCCTTGAACTTGTGATCCTTCTGCCTCAGTCTCTACTTGCACAGATTACAGGAGTGTACCACGATGCCAGTTAAATGCAATTTATTTATTTAAAAAATTTTTTGATTATATGTGGACCCAATGCCTTTATTTTATTTATTTACTTATTTTTATTCAGTGCTGACGATTGAACCCAGTGCCTTACACGAGCTAGAAAAGCATTCTACCACTGAGCTATACCCTCAGTCTTGGAACATATTTTTCATGATGTGGAAGGCACTTAATAATTTTGTATTATTCAAGGCTTTACCATTATAAACCTTAGTTTCTGGTCAATTTTGTTGTTTTAAAATTTAATCTGTACAGATTTTAAAAACTCTTACAATGTTTCAGAATCTATAAAGGCCAGTTTGCTATCATATATATATATATATATATATATATATATATATATACATACACACACACACACATACACATATATATGAATACACACACACATATATACACCTAATACATATCTAACAGCTTTATTGAAATATAATTAACATACCATACAACTTTCCTACCTAGAGTTCATAAGCCAAAGGCTTGGGTTTTTTTTTTTTTTTTTTT